TTTTTAGACTGTGTTTCACTATGTAACCCAAGCTAGTTTTGATCCCAGGCTGGCCTTGAACTCACAGCTGTCCTTCTGTTTCAGAATTCTGATGGCTGAGATTACGGACATGTGCCATCATACTCTATGGGGAGAAATATTCTTTTGATCTCCAAAGCAGATTATAAGCTTTATGTAGCTGTTATCATAATTGGTAATTTAGTATGTAATGTAGTCAAACGTATTTTGACTGTATATTTAACAATTTATACAACTAAAATGATAACCTGTCCAATGTAATGTTTTAGTCCAATATACCAAAAAAGAAGAAATCACACAAGTCTTTGAAAGACTGACAGGGTCGATTAGCTGCACGGAAAAAATGGCTGCCGCCAGTTTGGCTCTGTTCTGTAGAAGAGTCTCAGCAGTTCTGAAGGCTTCTGTATCATTAAAAACTCCCAAGGCCCCCGCTAGCACAGGATATTCTCTTAGTTTGTTATCTAAGAATACACCAGATGGCACATCCTTTCAGCAGTGTAGATTACTTCATACTACATTGTCAAGAAGAGGACTGGAAGAATTTTTTGATGACCCAAAGAATTGGGGGCAAGAAAAAGTGAAATCCAGAGCTGCATGGACCTGTCAGCAATTAAGGAACAAAAGTAATGAAGATTTACATAAACTTTGGTACGTCTTACTAAAAGAAAGAAACATGCTTCTAACTCTAGAACAGGAGGCCAAGCGGCAAGTATTACCAATGCCAAGTCCAGAACGGTTAGAAAAGGTAGTTGAGTCCATGAATGCATTAGATAAAGTTGTCCAGGAAAGAGAAGATGCTTTAAGGCTTCTCCAGACTGGTCAAGAAAAAGCTCGACCTGGTGCTTGAAGAAGAGACATCTTTGGAAGAATCATTTGGCACAAGTTCAAGCAGTGGCCTATACCTTGGTATCTAAATAAAAGATACAACAGGAAACGATTCTTTGCAATGCCTTATGTGGACCATTTTGTCAGACTGAAAAATGAGAAACGGGCCTGCATTAGAGCAAGAAAGAGGTGTCTGGAGAAAAAGAAACAGAAAATTCTGCAAGAAAAGTTTCCACACCTTGCTGACACCCAGAAGTCAAAGCTTGGATAAAAAAAGTCTAAAATATTATTTTTGGTTGTATAGCAGTCTCTGTACAAAAATATTAAGTGGTTTATAAAAAATTGTTATCAAAAAAAAAAAAGACTGACAGGGTCATCCAATTAAATTCAATTGGAGATACAGTCATTCAGCTGATTCTGGCTAAGTGTAGGGTTCCTCTAGAAATGAGCCAATAGGACTTTGCTAAGAAGCTTCAGCTTTCTTCTACAAATAAAGAGCACAGATTCATTTAGTGATCACACCCTAAAGCTCATAGAATAACTGTATGGAGAACACATTGCTGAAGAATATTGGTCTGTAATAGAACAGCATGATTCCTTGAGTTTTCAAGCCCTTGCAAAAGACTAGGACTTGCTTGGTCAAGACTAAGAGTATGACTGAACCACCTCTTGGAGGGAATTTTGGTTTTGTTTTTCATTTATGTATTTGGTACAGGGTCTTACTACACAAGTCAGATTCATAGTGACCCTTCTGTTTTCAGCCATGCCAGCACTGGGATTATAGACTTGAGTCACCATGCCAAGATTTGGTCACTGGCTTAGCACATTCTGGGGGCAGGGCCGGTGAGGCACATGGGACCCCAGATCGAACCCTGGTCCCTGCACTTGCCAAAGCAGGCGCTCAGTCCACTGAACTATGTTGCCGGCCCTTGGAAGGAACTTTCAGAGCCTGAAACCTGCTTTCTTTTTGGCAGATCCTCTTTAGAATTCTTCTCTCTAGCATTTTTTTCCTTTAAATTTCAGAGTATGCCTAGGGAAAGAAAGATTAATTGACTCTCCATTTTAAAAAGACCCTTCTGACTGTAATACCAACAAATTAGTATTGCAGGGCTGACATGAGAAACAGTCCCTGGTAAGCTTTTCCAGCAATTCTTCCTCATTGGTTCTCTTCACTATTCTGACAAATATGATCAAGAGTGGTGAGAGCTCAAAAAAAGCAGCTTTCATCCCTCTGCTGCTGAAAGAATTCTAAGATCGCCCCCACGAGCCCTGCCCCATGGTATAGACATCACCTTGCATAATGCTGTCCTTATAAGCATCAGTGGGATTTGATGGGATGGAATATGAAGGAATAACACTACTGTAATTAGGTTGCCAATCAGTTACCTTTGTGTTATCCAAATAAGTATCTGGTGTGGGCCTGATCTAATCAGTGAAGACCTTAAAAAGGATAGGGTTTTTCTTGAAGTTAGATTTACAATAGTGAATAAATTCTCTCTTACTAAATATGAAGAAGTAAGTTGTTGCCATTTGGAAAGGGTCATATGGTGGGGACCTACGTACTGACCATGATATCTAGGAACTGCCTCTGTCTGACATCTGGATAGAAAACAGAGTTCAATTCTTCAATCATGAGTGCTGAATTCTGTGAGTAGCCAAGGGGCCCAGAAGCTGACTATAAGCCCATGGTGAGACTCTAGCCCATATCAACACCTTGGTTCCAATAAAGCCAGCCACATCATGCCATTTTCAACCTACAGCACCAGGAAATAATTAATGGGTGCTGCTTTAAATGGCCAAGTTTGTGTTAATTTGTTCCATAGCAACAGATAACAAAGACATTGATCAAAGAGATCTTAGTTCTGCTGATCTTGTAGATTCACAGAACTGTTAGAGATCACTATTAGTGCCAGCCTACACAGAGACAGGGAAGAGAATCCATGTCTAGTCAGCATGGCAGCCTCCAGGATTAATCTTAAGTTCTGTCAGATGTCTCTTCCAGTTTATGTGTTGCCAGGTAATTGAGTCATTTTTAACCTATGCACATTGCCTGATCACTTATTTATTTATTTATCCATAATTTTATTGAGAAAAAAAGAGTAATGAGACAGTTTCAAACCAAACTAGTAGGACAGTTTCAATAATAAACACATTGCATACATTCTTCCTAGTGGTCAATTGCTGTACAAGATATGGAAATGATATCCTATTTACAAACACCATTAGAACAAATACTTCCATTCATTAAGAGAATGTAACTGTATATCTAATCTAACCACTTTGAATACACAGATACAAAATGGACATTCATCTGTATCCCCTTTTTTGTTAAGTTCCATTATTTGAATATTATAGGTATGTAAACTCATCAAAATATTCTAAAAGAGTCTAGTAGCCCATAATAATATTGGGTCTTCCACTTGACTGGCAATGTCAGAAATTGTTGACCTGAGTCCCTTATAGCTCAACATAACAGCATGGCTTTACTTCTTATATTTCTTTTTTATACTTTTCTGCTGGATGGTTAAGATCAAGGTAAAGCAGGACCTATGCAACAAGAGTTGTAGCTTTTGGGTCTGATGATGTCAGTGAAATCCCCTCAGGATTTATCCTGAGATCCTGTACCTCAGATTGTAGAACCTTTGTCAGTGCCAGCCATGTGGATGAGTCACGGCCATTTCTTGGCCAACGTGCTCTCTGTGAATCCTGAGAGAATATTTTCTCTCCATGTGATTCTCCTTAGGCACATGGTACATCATGGATCACTTTCCTCTTTGGCCCCATAATCTCCTTGTGATCACATATTTAATATTCCAGATTTTATACACACTGGTCTAATGGTCCATCAAGCTGTGGCACCTCTTCCATACCAAGGACTTAGAAAAAGTTTTCCTGGTGTACCCATTATAGTCAGGGTTTGCAAGGGAAAAGAGTCAATACAGAACTTGTAATTTATACAATTATTTTGTAATATTCAACCCAAGAGATAAATGAAAAAGAGTACATGAGATCTGTCCATGCACTAGAGACCCATAGAATCCAGCTAAGGGCATAGGTCTCACAATAGTGCCCTCTAGGTCTAGAAAACCTAGAGCACACGGCAGTGTCCTCTATTAGTCTAACTGGAAGCCTGACATAGCCTCACACAATTTGTCATGCAAGTCTGTGTCAATGATCTGTACTGGGAAGGCCCAAAGGTCAGTGGTAGAAGCTAGAAGGTCTATACCAGCAGGCTGAGGATCTGCACTAAAGTCAGGAAGTGACACTCAAGGTAAGGTTCAGAGCCCCCAAGGTGAACCACAGCCATTCTCAGCAATAGCGAAGTCCTGATGAAGAAACCAGCTGAGTTCATATCCAGAAGGCCAGCATAACAAGTTTCTCCAGGAGAATCAACAGCACACACTCTTTGCCTCCACATCTGCAGCAATAGGATGAAGAGTCCGTGTCAGCAGGCTGAGAGTCTGCCCTGGAGCCAGGAAGTGATGCTCCAGGTAGGGACCAGAGCTCCTCTCAAAGGAACTGCAGCCATCCTCAGCAGCAGGGAGGTCCTGAGCCCCTCCAGGGGATGAAAGTAGCTAAGTTCACATCAGGAAAGCCAGTCTGATAGGCTTCGCTAGGAGAATCAGCAGCACACACCTTCCTCTCCAGGTCTCTTCTTATGTGGTTGGCGGCAATGCTCAGGCGGGCCTTCCACACCCAGATTCGCACCACACTGATTCAGTTCCGCTGGATGTTACACATGGCCCATGAGTTAATACACCACAACCTATGATCTCATGCATCTTACTAAAGCCAGAGATTACTTCAAGTTCTGATACTAAGGCTTTTCTATTTAATGCAGTGACTTTATATGGAGCATCTTTTCATTTATGTCTTTTTCAAGAGCCTACTGGAGGTGTTTCCCATCATTTTAATTGTAAGAGAGAACACATATATTTAACACATGATATTGTGATTGCTTTAGTAGCCACTGTATGTAAGACTGAGCTGGCTGTTTCTATAGAAGCATAGAGGAATTATAATCATAGTAAAATATGCCAAATCATGCATAGGCATAAATACAACACTGGCTGAGAAATTTAAGTATGAAACACTTATAATTTTTTCCCATAAATTTATTGAGAAACAAATAGCAATGAGACAGTTTCAAACCAAACTGATAGGACAGTTTCAATAATTAACACATTGTATACATTTTTCCTAGTGGTTAATTGCTGTGCAAGATGCAGACATGACATCCTACTTACAAGCACCATTAGAACAAATCATTCTATTCATTAACAGAATGTCACTATATATCTATCCCAACCACTTCGAATACACAGATACAAAATGGACATTCATCTGTATACCCTTTTTTGTTAAGTTCTGTTATTTGAATATTATAGGTGTGTAAACTCAGCAAAATATTCAAAAGAGTCCAGTAGTCCATAATAGTATTGGGTCTTCCGCTTGACTGGCAATGTCAGAAATTGTTGACCTGAGTCCCCTACCGCTCAACATAACAGCATGGCTTTATTTCTTATATTTCTTTTTTATAATTTTCTACTGGATGGTTAAGACCAAGGTAAAGCAGGACCTATGCAACAAGAGTTGTAGCTTTTGGATCTGGTAAGGTCAGTGAAATCCCCTCAGGATTTATCCTGAGATCCTGTACATCAGATTGTAGAACCTTTGTCAGTGTCAGCCATGAAAACACTTATAATTTTTTATTACTTATCCAACCCACAATGAATCCCTGGGGTATAATGTTCTTCTAAATGATTTTTCAAACTTGTAATATGACAAGAAAAAGAAATTTGAGATGAAAGAATTGGAATAAAAGGAACAATTCTCTCATTACCTGTAGATTATATTGTTTATAGAGAAAATATTAAATAATCTGTAGCTATTACTAGGAATAATTGGAAGTAGTATTTCTATACCTGCACCAAGCCGAGAAAACCAAATGAAAGTGGAGATACTATTTACTGGTGTGTTTGAGACAGTCGGTAACTTGGTATCTGTTTAACAGAAGGCATACAGTACTTTTATATAGAAAAATTATTAAATTTTAATGAGAGATGATCAATGCCTGAAAAGTCTTTACAGTATTTCTCCCCTATCTAAAAATTGTGATTGTATTGTAAAAATAACATGATTTTAAAGCATGTTATCTTAAATGTTTTCCAAATGCAGAAGTATTATAAACATAATCTAAATTTTTACCAGCTTTTTATTTTGACAAATGTTGGTTTTTCAGGAAAGTCACTGCATAGTTCTGCCATCTGCTCCCTTATTAAATGGCAACTCTTGTGC